ACATCATTGTATCAGCAGCTAACACAAAGCAAAAATAATGATATATTTACTGAATGGCCAAAAATAATTTTATTTAACCCAACCATTAAAATTAACCTTTCCTCTAAATTCCAGCACATTACCAACCAATTTAGTTTAACCACACAGCAGTCCATCAATGTTAATTGGTGCAAACCCATCCCTCTTCAAAAGAAAGTTTTATTTTACTTCACGGTGTTCAAAATATTCAGTAAAATAGTTTACTTTGCTTAAATGAAAGCTGAAAAATACTGACAGACAACACAGAAAACAAATTCAATGACACTTCTGATAACAGAACAAACTGCAATTTGCGTTGCCTTTAAAACAATGAAAGAAATGGAACTCAAAATGATACATAAAGAGTTCTATAATATGTGCAAAGTTATTTTCAGGGTTCATATTAAGGACTAAATAAAAACAAATATTTCTTTATAGTACCATATGCAGTGATGTTTCTTTCTTAAAGAAAACAAAATAATGGAGCTACAATGTCATCCCATTCTCAAAAGGACTCATTTCTTCAATGCTGCATCCAGAAGAATTAAAATTTCAACACGTTGCATCCCTCAAACTTACACCAAAAAAAAAATTCTCTTCAGGTTTCACTATTGTACGCAAAGAAAACCCCACAGCCAGTATTCGAGACATTTACTAACAAGCATTCAAAAAGTATTTTCAAATATTGAAAACTAAATGCTGATCGGGCTGCACCTCTAAACAATTAACGCTTTCAAGTTGACCTTTTGCCAGAATAAAAAAGTTATTCAACTTAATTTAGAATAATGCTCATTTGGAGAGCTGGCACAGAAACCATGGACCAAATGGCCTCTTTATGCACCATCACAATTCTGTGATTCTGCTAGATGTAAAAGATTTTAAACAAGTAGTATTTAAGACAGGGAAAAGTTGAGTGGGGAAAACTGCAGAGATGGTCTATCATAAGGTAGAGGGCAGGTGAGTTAATGATTAAAATTATGATGGTACAGATCAAAATGAGACAGTAAAGAGATAAGAAACAAAAGATCTAGAGGAGATGTAAATGAGAATAACAGAATCATCAACAACAACCAGTACCCAAACAAAACAGATACAGACAATATGATTGGAAATTTCTGAACTCCATTTTGAAGTTTGAAAGCTTTAAAAGTATCTCATCAAAAGACAAGGTGCTTTTTTTTTAAGCTCATGTCAAGCTTCACTGGAACAGTGCAAGTTGAGATTGCAGTCAGGTAAAGAAGAAAATAACAAGCAATGGAAGCTCTGAGTCACAGAGTTGATTGAATTGTGGGCACTGGAATCAGTCACTCAATTTGCTTTTACAGTCTTCCTACCATACGGGAGACAGCATTGAGAGCACTGCACACAGTGTACCAAGTTAAACGAAAGACAAGTAAATCTCTGTTTCAGTGTCTGGAGCCTCAGAAGATGAGAAAGTAACATGAAAGGACAATCTGCCTCTCCTGCTTTTAGAAAGGTGTCATGGGAAAGAAACAGGAGGACTTGGGAGGTGAAGAAGTGAACTATGAAGTTGCAGAGGGAACAGTCTCTTTGAAATGCTGAAATATTCCAGTGGAACTCAATATATGCTTCAGGAACAGCAAAGTATCTTCTGCCAGGCATGTTAAAGTCTTATAGATTTAAGATTTTCAGATCATAAACTAGTCCTCACATTTTTGGACAGCAGCTGGTGATAATTTTGCTGTGATCACTTATACCTTCTTAAATCCATCTTCTGTTTTTTTTACTTGTCCCCATTATTAACTCATTTTTCACTGCCCCATTATTCTGTCATTTAATCTCCTCTACTTGAACCCAATCACAGATCATCATCTTGTTTTGGCCTTCCCAATCACTTTTTCATGCCTCTGTACTTGCTTAAAACCTGTTACATCTCAAACGCTTTCAGTCCTGGTGAAAGATTATCGACCTGAAATGTTAACTCTGCTTCTCACTCCATTGGTACTACTGGACCTGCCAAGTACTTCCAGCATTCCTCAAGCTAATACTCCAGCACCAATGAAATTGGTAACTGAATTCTTGCTGTAAGGCTTTAATTTTTATGTTCACGTGACAATATGATTTGAAACCAGTGAATCAACAGGCTACTAGACTATAACTTTAGACTTCAACTTTAGACTTCAGGACCAGGAAAAGGCAATTCAGCCAGTCAACTGTTATCCATCATTTAATTAGATCATGGCTGACCATCTGCCTCAAATGCACTTTCCCAATCTAACTCCATATCTCTGATAATCTCCAGAAAATTATCAAATTTGGTCTTTAAACCTGCTCAGTGATCGAGTCTCCACAGGCCTCTAATTAGAGGATTCCAAAGATCAGCATCACCCTGAGTGAATAAATTCCTCCACATCTCAGTGTTCAATAGCTTATCTCTTATTCTGAGGTTAGGCTTCCTAGCTGTGGACTCAACAGCCTGGGGAAACATCCTATCCGCATTCACCCTGTAATGCCCTGCAAAAATGTTGCAAGTCTTAATGAGATCACCTCTTATTCTTTGAAGCTGTGGAGAACAGACCCTGTTTCCACAATGTTTTGTCACAAAACAACCCTGCTAACCTGGGAATTCATCTGGTAAATTTTCATTTAACTCCTTTCATGGCAAGTATATCTTTTAGATAAGGAGGCCAAAATTGGATACAGTTCTCCAGCAAGGCTCTACATACAACTTCAGTGATCTTTACTTCTGCACTCAAATCCCCTTGCAATGAGCTCCAACATGTCATTTGCCGACCTTACCGACTGTTGCTCATGAACAGGGATACCCAGGTTTCTTTGGACACCAACACTTCTGAACTTTTCATCATTTAAGAAATATTCTGCCCCTGTTCTCCCACCCACCCCTGCTCCCCCCCATTAAAGTGGATAACTTCACATTCTATCACATCTGCCATGTTCATGCCCATTCACTTAACATGTCCAAACCCACTTGAAGTCTCTTTGTATCCTTCTCACAAATTAACATTCCCATCTACTTTTGTGTCATCAGAAAGCCATCCCAGATACTCTACCAAATCCTTGTAGTTCCAACTTCACATTGTTTGGTATATTCAAAAGATCGCAGAATCACATATCATAAATCAAAAGACTACTTTCTTTTTTCCTCTCTTGCTGATGCTGGCACCTTCAACGAAGCATGCTCTCCAATCAATGGTTGCTCCTTTCTGCATCCTTTCTAAATGGCCAATATTTGATTATGAGCTGTTCAACTAAGGAAGTCATCATAGGCAAGCCTGATCCAGTTTTCAGTGAGGTCCTTCAATGCACACTTCCAAAGGGAATACCAGAAAGTGATTATGAACGAGAAGCATAAATCCTTTCCCAACTCAGGAGCAGTGCAACAAATTCTGATGCCCTGGCTCAGACCACCTTAAACTGCACAAACTGGCTGTGAACCTTAGACTCTTCCTGGTCTGGTTGGCACAGAGATAGATATGCTTCCTCTGAACCTGAAGCACTAAATACTGTTTCTGAAGTGAACAATGCATATTCGTAACTCAACACTAGGTGGCCCTCTGATGAGGATAAGCCATTGGGTCGGATCTTTGTGAGAGATTGCCACACTCACACCATGAAAGAATATTTCTGACAGGACATTGCCAATCACGGATCCTTCAGAATTGTAAAGACATACTTCCATTGGGACAGTTCCTTCCTAGTGCAAAACTGCTGGGGGAAAGCAAACCACGACCAGTTTTCATAGCAATCAGC